CCAACATTTGTCTACGTAGGTTTCAAGCAACAAGACAATTTGGCATTAGAAGCAGAGAAATGCAAATATAAATTCATTGCGGTATTTTATATTTGCATTTTTCTGCTTCTATTGCATTAGATAGGACACCGAGAAACGTTTCCAACTACTCTTGTTTAGTTTGATCACATTGTGGATAACTATGTCAAAGATAGATTTGAAGTTGGTTACTAGGTGTCCTATTTTTCTGTTTAAGAGGAAGGCCACGCCTCCTTGGCTAGTTCTATTTTGTGTTTCTTTGGCGTTTCTTTGATACAATGTATAGCCCAATTTCGACAAAATAGTATTTTCCCCTGCTAGTCTTATTTCAATGCAATCTTCACAATGCTCACTTCCTTCTTAAAATTACTAATTTGTCTTCCATTATAAACAACACCCGTTTTTTCATTAATAGAACCTTAATGGCACCAGTTTGGCAAATTTATCTATTAGTTCAATAAAGATCATTCCTTCAAATTTCGGAGCTATGATTTATTGATTGCAACTTTGTATAACCTTAAACGTAAATGTTAGAATACTAGATCTTCACGTATCTCAAAAACTAATTGAGATATCATCATGTAATAACAAGCAATTTAAAGAACATTTATTTAGTATTTAATGAATTAAAGAGCATTCCTTAGAATTCTCAAATTCCGCACTTATTTTTTGATTGCAACCTTGCATAGTTATGTTATATCTCCGCCAAAGCGTATTTGCTTGTACTACATTTTCTGCGAAACTAACCGGCCAAGATGGATTTGCAAAGCTGTAGGTGTTAAACAAAAAAAATTATTACTTTTCTAAACACTACAGCGATAGCAACGCGATACACTACAGTACCTATTTGTAATACGAATTTACGTATAACCATTGAAACTCAATGCATACGAAAATATAGGGACAATGAACCTCAACGTGAAAAGTGTACACATGCAGCTATACCTACATGTTGATATAGCAATCTTACTGGAGATAAACAAAAAAAGTAAAGAATCGGAAAACTGGGGAACATACATTTATTTCCACTGTGATGTCACAAAGGACTAGAGAACCAAGCAGGGAGTATCTATTGTTATACACAGAAACCTTAGACATACGTAATATGGCTAGTTTGAAAATCCATGTTACAAATTAATAATTTAGTAAAATTGGAAAAATGAAACTTCTTACTTGCTTTTTATATACTTATTTATATTTTACTTCCTATAAAAATCAAGTAAGAAGTTTCATTTTTCCAATTACAGTTATACTAGGGCATCTGATGAATGAAAAAATCATAAGGATGGATCTAATACATGGATATAAAGTAATCATCATAGAAGTACATGTGGTAAATAAGGACTACCTAAAGATGAATTTTTCGAACGTAAATGGTAAACGTAAAAAACGTAATGGTATATAGTTGAAGAAAGCATACAGATAATGTAGTTGTAAATAATAGACAAAGAAAATAAGAATAACCTAGTTAGATGAAGAATGCAGAAAGGCGACATACAATACAAGAAGTGCATAGGAAGAAGAACAAGAGAACGAAAAACAGAATTCGAGGAAGCTAGAAAACATATGGATAAAATGTGCAGAAGCAACAAAAGGAAATGTGACAACGACCTCACTCCAAACGCAGAAGAAGACTTCAGAAATAATTACCAATGAAGGATACAAAACCCAGAAAAAGTATCTGTAGAAACGAAAGGAGTCAAATAAAATGTGACTCTCAAATAATAAAAGACATCTGGAAATAATGTTTCCAAACACTTCTAGCAACGCAAGAAGAAACTGAAATCAGAGAAGAAGTAAATCTGAGAGTTGAGGGGAGATCAAGTATAACAAGACACCAAGAATAGATTAAATACCCTTGGAAATTATATTAACTATTAACTAGGTGGTGAACAACTTACAAAATCTATCTATTACTAAAATGTCGTAATTATCGCTGAATATATCTCTTCTATGTACATCATAAACCAACGCCTACAAACTCTGGCTAAAATTATAATTTGCGAATATCAAGCGGGATTCAAATGTGGCACGTACACGACGGATCAACTTTTTGTAGTAAAATGAATATTATGTATGAGAGAGAGAGATATTAAGTCTGAGAACATGATATTGTTTAGTCCTCTGTCTAATTAGAAAACGGTTCAAGATATCGACGTGTTTCGATCGGCACATGTCGATTTTAGACGTTCTAAACTTATAGTTTTTCCGGAAAATAAGTTAACTTTGTTTTTTTTAATGAAACTCCTTATATGTATATTATAACATTAACTAATAGAGCTAAAAAATTCGAATCCCCACTACCAAATATTTGTTAACTAGTTTTTATGAACCGTTTTGTAATTTGTACTCAAAAATATGATACCCGTGATAGAGATAATCTGGTTCTCTCTCGACATGTCACCTCCACATTTCAAAGAAGTCCCTTTTATGACTTCCCGAGAATTTATAATGGATTACCCCGGTTGATTAGATCTCAGGAGTGCCCCAAACAATTTAAACCTAGCAGGGGGTAGTGATTTTTATTAGTTATAACGTATTATATAATTTACTATTGTATTTTGTTTTATTGTTCTATGAATGCTGATTTGTCACATCTACTGATGTAGCCCACGTGATTGAATAAATATTCTATTCTATTCATGAAGAATAGCATATTGATGATAAAATATGTATATTTTATCATCCATTAAAAACATAGATGGCGCTTCTAAAATGTAATGATAACCATACAAAATATTTCCCCCCTTCATATGATGAAAGTTTTATCTGAAACTTTTTTCCACAAAATTAATGGTTTATGAGTTATAATTAATAAGCATTTTATTGTTTCATTATATTTACAATTTTCCCTTTCCTAATGCATAATATATACCTCCAGATCCTCTACCCTCCTCCCCCCTTTCCACACCTTCGCCTCCTCGCCCCCATCACCTCCCTCATCCATCTTTTGTCCTCGCCCCCCTCTCCCAAAATCTGCTTCCTGTCCATTGCCTCCTCTCTTAGCTCACTACACCCTCTCAGCATGTGTTCCAGCGTCTCCTAATTCTCTCCACACAGCCCACACCAGCTCTCCACATCGTCCGCCCAGTACCTATCCCCCTCTCCTCATTGCCACAGCGAAATCTGGCCACCAATCTCTTCCCTTCGTCATCCCCCTCCATCAACAAATACTTTGGCAGTTCCTCTGTCACTATCTCTCCATACCTTTCATTGTATTTCCCTTCTTTCCTGCCTCTGTATGGCCCTGCCCCTATCTCTCAGTTCTTTCCGCATTTCACCCCTTTCCGCTCTTCTGTTTTCGATCCCAGTTAGTGAGTATCCACTCTTGTATAATATTCCCTTCTTCCCTGTCTCTTTGCCCATAGATCAGCCTCCTCTCATTAATTTCCCTCCAGCACTCTCCCAGGATCTGCAATGCGGTCTTGCTTCTATCATTTCCTCATACTTCACTGCTCTTCTCCGAGCCTCCACCCTTACTGCATCCACCTCTCTTTTTCCCACGTCCCTCCCAAAAGTTCTTTCCCCCCATCCCCAAACCTGTCCCATCACCCTGTTCGCTCTTTTTGCCATCGTCCTCACGTGCGCCCCGACCTTATTACTTCCCGCGAACCCATATCGCAGGTACGTGTACTCTTTCACTTGCTCTATCTCTCTTCCCTGCCACCTCAATTCCTCCTTCTTTCTTCCCCCCCTTTGCAGAACTTCATTATCTTTGTTTAAAATATTTTTGCAGGGACCTCATCATCTCCTTCATCTCCACCGCCTCTCTAGCCATGACCACCAAATCATCCGCATACGACAAGGCTTGCACCTTTGTTCCTTCTGTCACCACCCCACCCATTTGCCTTTTCACAAGTCTCTTTTCCAAGTGGTTTATGAGCTATAAGGTCGTCTCAATTTAAATGCCTCACCCGGTGTAAAGATAATCTTAATAATGCACGGTTTTTTTTCAACCAATCTTTGCAACATTAGGTACTTGCTATTCCACCGCACTTCTATGTCCTGTAGTAAAGAGCCAGTGGGAAGTCCACACGATTTTGACCACCTGTCAGTTTTCTGGTTGCATGATCATCTCTCCATTGCGTTTCCTTCGTCATTTTTTTGCTAGATCCGCCAAGCTACATTGTAAGAGATTCGATTGTTATCATTAATGTTTGTCACATCTTTCTTTTTTAACGTAACTTCATTTTCCTTCTCGTCCAATTCTGAAATTGGGACAAAGAAGATGAAACTTCCGTACGCACAAGCTACCGATAAGCCAAGATACGAGAAGTGACGAGCACCAACCGAGACTCGATGAATGAAATTTCGGTTCTTGCCGAAGGTTTGTTCTATTTTTGGCTGAAACAGAAACATTTAGCGAAGCTCATATTTTGGCCACTACATTCAATACTACCTAGTTTACCAATCCATGTTCCGGGTGAAAATGATCTTCAAAAACTTCAAAATAATTTCCAGCAATTTCTCGTGCCCACTTTGCTGATAAGGATTTTTTCCCAAACCTCTAAGCCTTACCATTGTCGAGATACATCCGCTCTGTACCCTTATCAGGATACCCGGTGCAATGGGGATATCATACAAATATAATTTTTTGAAATAAGTCTTTGCAAACTGATCATTTGTTAGATTAATTAATAATAATTATTAAAAGTCGTATTGAACAGTGACTAAAATAAATTGATAACAATTTTTTTAGCCAAGCTCACAATCTTCATATTCGCACAAAACAACACGCAAACCAAAAATATACACAACAACAACAGAAGATATAGTTATTTTTGAAAAAAATCAACCTGTATCTATTGATTTACCACCGGAATTATTTAACAGCGGATTTCAATTAATTACAAACGTTTCAAAGAGAATTGGAGACTTTATGTTGGTAGGTATTTAAAAATTTCACAAAAATAATATTTATATTAAAAAATCGAAAACCTTTTAGGATTCCGGATTTCGCGCTCATCGATTATTAGAGTCAATGAGACCATTCTTTTGGAAAATTTTTGGAAAGAAAGGTTTCGTAATCGAAGCAACAACGGATAAACCAATATTTACAGATCCTAACGAAAAAAACGAAATTAAAAAATAACTTAAAAAATAACAACATCTCTAGATTGGTGGTGCTCAATTTACTATGTATTAAATTTTATATCTTAGGTAGATTAATTGTACAGCAATTTTATGTAAAAGAAAGTTTTAATAGAAATTGTTTTTATTTATTTTTTCTTATACAATTTTGCAAAACGTAATCATAAGAACAACCTTGAATGCACAATGTGGAGAAAACGAGGTCACACGTAACAACAGTCCACAGTCCATTGGTCACACTAATACATCAGTAAGCTTCAAAGCTTCGTACTATGAAGTAGCATCTTTACAAAAACTAGACACCAACATTAACAAGATATTTAAGTCAACCATTTAAAACAAGTAAGTTAAATATTTTTACTAAAATAGATTTTATCACTTCAACGCTAACTGTTACGTAAAAAGTAAACGGAAAACCCAAAGAAAGTAGTGAAAGTGAAAAGTTAACAAACTCTTCGATCTCCTCCTACTATTTTATAATAAATTATATAAGACCATAAAATTATGAAATAAAATTGGGTTTTATTTTTTCAAATTCAATCTAAAAAATCATAATATTTTTTATGAATCTTTGTATTCTTTTAACACGGACATGAAATTATCGTTAAATTTAACATTAAAATACCACCGACAATTTTTAAAGTTGGCTAAACTCACTTTCTACTTCGGTCAAGTGTATTGCGAATGTAATGTGGGTACATAGTCTTTATCCGGAATTCCAGTTGTACACGCGAAAGTGACGAAATGTTTTCTTGATTGGATTTTATCTAATTGTAAGTAAGATGTCGAAAAACTTTTAAAAATGTTTTAATGTTTGTGTTTCTTAATACACTAATGATGTATTTAAAGTTTTCTTTTCTAATTGTAGATTATGAGACATAAATTTATCTTCAAAACGACGTTGTTGTTTTTAATAACGGCAAGCGTGGTTTTATCGTTTGATTCAACATCAAATCAGGAACAAAATAACCAACATAAAATTCAGAAAAGAGCGTCACAAAAACCGGGATTTTTTAAAACGTTATTTTCAGTTATCTATGAGGTTAGTTCTTTTTTAATTAATTATTTTATTTATTTCTTTTATTATTAAAATTGTTTTTTTTTTACTGTTTCTTTAGCAATGGGCTGATACAAAAGACACAGTTAACACAGTGTCGAAAATGGTTAACGAAAATATTATTGACGACAGGGAAGCTGCTGTAAGTATTTCTACTGATTCGTGATAATGATCCATAATTATTTTTCTTTTCTTAATTCGTGTACGATGCACAAAATTTTTTTGTTTATTACCAACAATTATTATTTTTCATTTTTTCTCGGGTGCGTGACTATTGTTTTATTTGTTTAATAATAATATTTTTCGTCTGCACTTAATAATGAAGGGTTAACCATTTCCAGCATCAGTATTGTAGTTAAGATTTGTAATATTTTGTTGGGAACAATCTCTCCATTCTACTTATTTTCTTTATGTTTTTCTTACTATCATTCATGTGTTATCAGTTGTCGTGTTTGCTATTTTTGATAGTTTTTAACAACAAATCGTTCCGGCTATGTACCGCCACTGAAGTATTTTGTATTTTAGTAGTTTTTCAAACTCTTGTTTGTTTTTCTTCCTCTTTCCCTTAGGAGATTTTTACAGTTTACTAGGTTATTTATTTTTCATTCGTTGTTTTTCCGTAATGGATACAAGTTACTCTTCTACTTCACATTTTTCTTCTTCTACCTCTACCCCTTGCCTGGAATCCTCTTTTGGGAACACATACCCTAAATTTTTCCTCTGGGAATATTAGTAATGTGGATGAGGCGGATTCTTACACGGGAATACCTCCGACTAATCTTTTTTGTGGATTTGCTAGCCATATTTCTGTATGTCATATTAATGCCCAGAGTTTTTATGCTCATTTTGATGACTTCTTATATACTGTTGGGTATAAAGATTACATCAAACATATTTGATGTAATCTTGGTTAGTGAAACTTGGTTTAGGCCTTCATTGTCCTCGTCCATGTTTGTCTTACCAGGTTATTGTTTAGGTACAAAGAAATGATCATGAATATTCCCGGGGTGGTGGGGTTGGGATTTTTATCAGGAATTATAATAGTATTCTGTTAATGGGGGATTTTAACACATGTATTCTGAAAAATGATACGCGTAGTGAAAAACTTCGATTTATTACAACATCCTTAAACCTAACTATATTACCCTCCCAACCTACGCATTGCCTGCCATTGTCATAATCTCTTCTTGATCTCATCATTACGTCCTGTCCAGATAAAATTTTAACACATTGTCAATTACCTGCTGAACAGTTTTCTTGTCATGAACTGATTTATTGTGCTGTTCAAGTTCGGCAGCCTGTCTCTTCTCATTGCATGTTCATTTACCGTGATTTTAGACACATTGATTATGAACAGCTCAAATCTGATGCATTGCTGGTTGATTGGCAGCCATTGTATTGTATGAGTGACATTGACTTAAAAGTTAGTTAGTTTAATGACAAAATTACATGTTTGTATAATAAACATGCCCCGCTTAAGCAGAGAAAAGTAAAGCATCTCCGTGCCCCCTGGCTACATGATGAGATTAGAGACCTTATGCGTGAACGAAACAGATCTAAAATGCTTCTTAAACGCAATTAATCGAATATTAACTATGAAAGGTATCGTTTACTGCGTAATCGCTGTAATCATAGTGTAGTCATCATGTAAAAATGCGAAGAAAGCATATTTTTACCAGAAATTGGCTGGGACTACTCCTAAGACGTTCTGGAAAACTTTAAGGTCTCTTGGTGTCATTGACTCTGCTCCTACACAAGGTGTTGTGGACGGAAATTCTTTAGCGAGCCATTTCGCTAAACCACCAGTAACTCTTAATACTGCTTCCAAAATCACCTTAATTCAAACTATTGAGGCATCTAATCTTATTNTTGATGAAATTGACTTGGTGTCATTGATTCTGCTCCTACACAAGGTGTTGTGGACGGAAATTCTTTAGCGAGCCATTTCGCTAAACCACCAGTAACTCTTAATACTGCTTCCAAAATCACCTTAATTTAAACTATTGAAGCATCTAATCTTATTTCTTCTACCTTTTCGCTCACGTGATTGATGGGGACGAGACGCCGGCGCAGTCGTTATTACCTTGAAACAGATTTTACTCATATCTATAACTTTTCCATTGAAACATCATCCTTTTCGTCCATGTGGAAGCTTGCGCATGTTGTGCCTATTCCTAAATTAAAAACTCCAGTTTCCCCTTGTGACTTAATGATTTATAATGACTTATAATGAATGATTTGCAGTCTGGTTTCCAGCTCAAGATTACTGATGATATAAGATACGCTTGTGATAACCGACGTTTGACCTTGCTAGTACTGCTTGATTTCAGTAAACCCTTTGATTCAGTCGATCATGATATTCTCCTTGCAACTCTCTCATCTATCGGTTTTTCTCCTACTTCTTTGTTATGGTTCCGATCCTACCTTTCCCATCGCACTGACACAGGCCCTTAGTCCACTCACAAACTTCTTTGTGGGGTGCCCCAAGGAAGTGTTTTGAGTCCGTTGCTTTTCTCTATTTTTATCAATAGTGTCACAAAAGTAATTTCTTCTGGTTATCATTTATATGCAGATGATCTCCAGATTTACACCAGTACAACCGTTAGTGAATTCCCCTTGGCTGTGGAGCGTCTAAATCGTGACCTTACTAAAGTGCATAACTGGTCTAAGCTTTTTGGGTTAAAGCTAAATGCTACTAAAACTCAAGCAATTGTGTTTGGTACAAATTCTCTTTTAAATAAATTACCCGCTTTTACTAATTCACAACTACGACGATGGCGATGTCATAGAATTTTCGGATGTGGTGAAAAATCTGGGTGTTATGATGGATTCAATACTGTCCTGGCGCCCCCGAATTCAACTTATCTGCAAAAAAGTGTATTCTTGTTTTCATTCACTGCGTAGGCTTAGATGTTTCCTTCCTCTTTTTATTCGTCGTAATCTGTGCTACACGTTAATTTTTCCTCATGTTGATTATGCTGATCAGTCTGCACCGATTTATCGATTACACTGTGTAATAAGTTGCAAAGATTACAGAACAATTGTGTACGTTTCATATTTGATCTGGATCGCTATTGCCACATCTCTCCCTATCGTAATAATTTAAAATTGTTAACGTATGAGAACTGACGATCCTTTCGTGCATTATTAAATTTGTATAATTTTAAATTTGTATATATTCTTCATCATCAAACGCCCAGATATTTGTTTAACAATTTCACCTTTTTGTCAGCTCATAACAAATCCACACGATCGCAATCCGATTCGTTACTCATGTCCGCAATACATCACACCAATACTTATCATAAGTCTTTTACATTGCAAGGGATTTCACTCTGGAACAATCTTCCTGCTGTTATTCGCAATGCTCCTAGCCTTCCATCTTTTAGGGTATCCCTTGCTCATCTATTGTTCTCTCGTCAAGTCTCGTCACACTAAACCTTGTTCTTTTAATGTTTGCGTGTGCTAAAATATTTTACATGTTTACGTTACTGTAATTCGTTTCTTCTTGACAATGTTCCCTTTTCTTTCCTTTTCGAGTTCTTATAATGCCATATTGGATATTATTATTTAAGTTTATTAATTTTCTTTTATCAATTGGATCACTTAGAAGATATCGCCGTAGGCGATAAATTGATTCATTTGTCTAATAATTATGTATATATTGATTGTATTTTCATTTTTTTTGGTAAATCTATTTTGTAATTTAATAAATAAAAATGGATTTTTATTTTTACTAATCAGCTTTTACCGGTTTCGCCTATTTATTTCGGCATCTTCAGAAAGCTTTGTCTGGATCGAACACTTAAAACAAATTTTGACAAATTATATGAGAACCTCAAAATCACTTTTATCTTGATGTCATGTTTTTTGATGTACGACCTACTTATTCGACGTTCTACTAATTTTATATACGTTTTAATAATGTTACAACGTTGTTTTGCTGTCGGATTTTTTCATATAATTTGTCAAAATTTTTTTTAAGTGTTCGATCCAGCCAAAGCTTTCTGAAGATGCCGAAATAAATAGGCGAAACCGGTAAAAGCTGATCAGTAAAAATAAAAATCCATTGTCTAAGTGCGAAAACCATTTTTATTTATTAAATTTCAACAATGGAAAAAAAAGAAAACAACAATATTTTGTAATTATTTATGGCAATAAATATATATATTATGTTATGTTATGTTAAAAATCCTCATCATCTCAAAATGCTCGATGTGTGTCATTAAAATCGAGAACAAGTTAAAATAGAAAATCGTTAAAAGNATAAATATATATATTATGTTATGTTATGTTAAAAATCCTCATCATCTCAAAATGCTCGATGTGTGTCATTAAAATCGAGAACAAGTTAAAATAGAAAATCGTTAAAAGAATGTAACATCTATAAAATACTTAAGAATGAATCCAAAGTATACAAATATCTCTAAACAATGGAAATCTAGGTATGACTATTTTCTAACAATGTAAAAACACCTATAGGCCAAATTTCAATATTGACGATTTATTGCATAACATTTAAATTAAGATACTCTAATAAGTCAAAAACCATCAATTTTATCGAAAAAAATTCATGTAAAACTTTCATCATATGATGGGGGAAAGTATTCTGTATGGTTCTATATTGCATTTTAGCCGCGTTATTAGATTTAGGTAGGTCTTTATTTCCTACGTGGTCAGCTCTTTATCAAAGCTACACTAAGCATCGATCTCTCCATCTTTCTTTGCGTTACTTTGAGCTTCCAGGCGTGATAATCATTAATATTAATGTTTCAGAGCCGTATGTTACAAGCGGCACCACGCACACACAAGCCTTTCTTTGGTGATTGATTTGGTGACTGATTCAAAGCCTTTCTTTTCAAATGTATGGGAATATCACACTTGAAAATGTTTCTAAGTTTCCCGTAAACCCCTGAAAGAAGAAAGAAAACTGTGATAGAAAACTGTGTTTTTTACTTCAACGATGATGTATGTCTTTTATTTATTATTTCGGTCATCAGAAAAACAACAATAAAAATAAAAATTAGGTTAAACAAACACTTAATTATCAAATATATAGAATAAAAACAAAGAATAAAATTACCGTCAAATTATTTCAAAAGGTACTTAATATATGATACACAACACGCTACGCACTAGATT